AACCGGGTTAAATGATTAAGCTATTTACTCAGCATTCAAACAATAAATTTTCATGACAGCAATCAATCACATCATTGCATATATAAATGATAATGATATACCGCATTTTTATTACATTTTACCATTTGATGTTTTTATCACTTTTCAATCACCTTATATTACATGAATGAATTATATGTATATTTATTTATTCATTCATATATTTATTTAATTATTTATTTACTTATTTTTTTCATCCCTTTATTTATTTATTAATAACTGACATTAGCTTATTTGCCTCATTTTCAAAGCACCCGGGCAAATAAACATAACAATTTTTTTGAAAAAAAAAATCAGTTGAAATCATTTATTATTTCTTTTGTTGTTATTATTATTTTTCATTTTTCACTTAAAATATTATATTTTTTCACTAGTTTTTTTAAGTTGATAATTAATGTAAATGAATACTGTATAATGAATACATTATAGGTAATGGATACGTATTTTGATATAAAGATAGTTGGTTAAAATGGATTAGTTGGCAAAAATACGTTACCACTAGCTTATTAATTATTATATTAATATCAGTTGTAGATAACTTTTTAAACATTTTTATTTTTATTTTTGTTGTTTATTTACTATATATTTCATTTTAACAACATGATGTATGATGGAAAATGTTAAATAAAGAAACTTATTGTCACAGAAAAAGAAAAAAAAACAAACAAATGTTTGCGTTATTGTATGACCCTCCATTTTGTCATTGATCATATCATCTTCATATAAACGGGGGTAAAAATATATCACGAACACATTTTCATATACACAAATAAAATTATAAGCAAAGATCATACTAACGCATGAGGAATATGGAGAAAAAATATCATTTCGTTAAACAGTATTACACCATTTGCGATTCCGGAGAATGAACTGCATAAATGACAGTAATACTAAAATATGATAAACAAGATCAACAAGAAAAGGCGGCGTTGAATGAACGCAACCCCATACGACCCAGCAACAAGACCCATTTTAAAGTATGAACAATATTCTTCTTTGCATATTTATCAAATAACTCCGAACAACGATTTACAAAATTATCCTTAGAACCCCTATAAAAAGATAGTGGAATACTATCCGCAGAACGGACAGATACAATGCGTTTCGTCTGAGGTTTAAAAGATAGGGGAATTATTCCCCTATCTTTCTAGTCTCAATATGAATCTCTCTCTGCATGCAAATTTGTTGCTGAAAAAGTGCCTAAAGGTAGACCCCCGGAAAAAGGACATCTGGAATTTCCTTTTTTATTCTGGAACGCATTATACATATTTTATTTTAGTTTTGCATACATATTTTTTCAGCTTTGCATTCATATTTTATTTTTGTTTTTCGTACAAATGTTATATTTGTTTTTCATACATATTTTAGCCAATCAAAACAGCCTTGAAATCTCAGCCCATAGTTGAGTATAAAACTAGCAAAGTGGTTAGGTCACATTTCAGCCCATTTTTGGAATCGGCCCAGTCGTTTTCGGCCGGGCAAGTCAGGTTTCGGCAGACCCTTTTCGGCCCATTTTTTTTATATTATATGTATTTTATTTAATTATTGTTTTATTATTATATACTGTTATATTAGTGTCTATTTGAAAAGGGCTGTTGATTGGTGATCAGTTATTATTCCATTAATATGCACCACTCAACCCCACGCCCTGAGAATTGAGAATTATGAAACTTAGGTCAATTCCTTAGCACATCCAGATAATGTACAGAACTTTATGCCAGGTGTGCCGGCTCAAGGTCGGGGTCACAGCTACAGGTCAAAGGATAAAGACTTGGGTTTTATGTCCGCTCCTTATCTCCGAAACCCCATGAAGGATTTTAAGGCACCCACAACGAGACCATATGCAGAACCTTTCTTTGGGTTACCGCGGATACTAAAAAATGAAAATGTTGGTATTTGCAATGGGGTACTGTAATTTACAGATGGCGAAGTGTTTGAAAATGGTGTTTAACAAATGGTGTAATTATCCAAACCTCTACTTTGCAAATGGCGTCATGTAAAATATGTACGAAAAAAACAAAAATAAAATATGTACAAAAAAACTAAAATAAAATATGTATGCAAACTAAAAAAGAATATGTATTCAAAACTAAAATAAAATATGTATGCAAGCTAAAAAAGAGTATGTATGCAAAACAAAAAAATTATGTATTCAAAACTACATGTAAAAAATATGTACGACAAACAAACAAAAATATGTACGAAAACTAAAAAAAAAATTTTTAAAAAATACAAATGTCACTTTTATGCTACCGTTCAAAATACTCTAGGACAGAAATTGTGTATTCCTAGAATTAAAGGATGCTGCGAAAAGTATCCCGTTCTGTCGGTCATTTACTTAATAACTTTTGGTGCCATATTGAGTCCCATTTTAAATATGTTGGAAATGAAAAAAAAATGCAGTTAATGTCTTTTTCCAAAGAACTATAAATAGACTCTATTGCAATGTTCTGGTGAAAATTTTTTTCGATCGGACTATAAATAGTGGTTTTTACAAAAACATTATTAAGCTTATCAACAAACTTAAGGGTTTTTGTAAGCTCCGTAACAACCGTTCGCCAGAGGCTTTTTTATGGGAAATCTTACATACTTCTTAAGACAGAGCAAACGTGAATTTTATAATTATGTTAAAATAATGGTATCTGAGAAATGTAAGATGCTTGTTATCTGAATAAAGTAGCGATAAATGTGATAATATTCGTCATAAAAGAAACGAACACTGTAGTATTTGACTTCCATATAAAATACTAATTCGCTATAACTGTACTCATCATTGCCAAAAGCAACAGATGAAAAAGATGGTTCAGGTAAATGGCCAATGTGTATTTTTTGGATAATATAGAAGGACATCAAAATAAAAAAAGCTTATAAGAAAAACAAATAAAAGCATAATGTGCCTTTAAAACGTTATTTTTAACCCTCGGGGGGATCAATACCCCACAATCCCCTCTATACCCCCAGAGAGAATTTTACATTATTCTGAAGCTCCGCTCTTAATGAGCGACTACTTAAATAGTTGATATTTTAGTACTGCCTGTACGGACTTCTACTTAAAGCCGCATCTACACCTAGTCAAGTTTCTTATATGTCACATTTAGCTAAATAAATGGCCCTTTCAACATATTATCAGGCACATTTTTTACTGAAATGTCTTACTAACATTTCCCAGAATTTATGCTAAGACTATCATATTTCTTAAAAATGTGTAAATAAAAAACGGGAAAATAGTGCATTTAGCTAAAAAAATTGGAGTTAATGAAAGGTGTACATTCTTATAAAATAAAAGGAAAGTTTGAGAAAAAATATTTTAAGCTTAATAATTGATACAAATTCTTTATTTGGTGATTTATTAGGTGAAAGTTCTTCACTTACTAATCAAGATCATTTAAATCCCTATTGATTCTACTATAATTCAGGGCACATGTTTGTGTCTATTAAATGCCTTGATTTTTTGTTTCCCATTGGCTTTGACTACATTATATTATTTAAAACATAATGAACTTTAATTTTCTATGACCCCAAAGTGCGGTCGTTCGCCTGATGTTAAAAAATGCATATGTACCTGTTTAACGCACTTTGTGGTCGAAATTGGACCCCAAAGTGCGTAACGCACTATGGGGTCGGACCCCAAAGTACGTAACGCACTTTGGGGTCGGACCCCAAAGTGCGTTTGACCCCAAAGTGCGGTGTTACATAGCACGAATACTATCGATAGTAGAAAATTGCAACTGTAGGATAGTAGAAAAAACAGTACCATAATACGACAGAGCAATAAAGACAGTACCATGTCGCGACAGTATAATAACGATAGTGCGATAGTATTGTGACAATTTGTCTCTTTTGAGACATTTAGGTTCCTCACAGCTGCGGTCAGTCAGTCTCTACCCAGCTGCCAAGTGTAAACATTCTGAGAAGAAATTAATTAATATTTCAGATTAATCTTGGACTGTTTACGAAGTATGTCAATTGCATCACTTGAACATTGCGTGAGGTGTAATTTTTAGTACTACAGAATTGAACACTCGATATCCAAATGTTTTTTTTCCGGTATATTAAGATAGCCTGAAAAGTAACACCTCAGTCTTATATCAAATAAATATATCAACTATAAAGGCAATTTACTGTTTCAGAAAAACTATCAAATTAAACTTCATTGAAAAGTTTGAACGAATCATTTTTAAATCATGTGTTACTTTTCAACTTGTGTAAAAATCCATAAGAAAATTATTGACCATTAAAGTTTTATTGTCCCAATCATTTCATTTGTTGAGACATTAACAGCTAGCCCGTGCACGATACAAAATCGGCGCCAAACGGGGGACACGCAGGTAATTAAGAGTTGATTGATGCAATTCAGAGGCTTAGAAAATAAATTAAAAAACTTAAGACGGAATAAGACATTGATATGTTAAACAGGAAATTGATAAAACTTAAGTAAAATGACTTCAACTCCTTTACCTGAAGATGAAATACCACCACAACATTAATTTACCGTTGCATCGTGTATCGCGATTCAGAGCAAGACACTGTTAAGTGATGACCCTTACTGTATCCGAAAGATATCCAATCATTTCTTGCAGTCATCATCAATCGTATTCAAACTTTTTTAGGTGGTGGGACTCACGGTGACTTAGATTTTGAAGAAAAGCAACAAAAACCAGAAATACTTTTTAAAAAGTGCTTATAAACACAAGTGAATATTGGAAATTAAATTATAGAGTTTTGTTTAAATCTGAAACTGTAGAATATCTATAGACAACGAATAATTTTATTAAAATGAAATAGCTGGTAAATGTTTACTTTGTAAATGTATATATGATGTGCTAGCTTTCTTTATTTTCTATTGATCAGTGTTGTTTAATGCTGAAGTATGACAGTATGATATTTCCAGTTATATGGTAACCTACGAAATATCTATTACCATTTTTTTCTTACAATTAGCTGGATCGTATTCAGCAATAAAAGGTTTGTTGTAAGGAAAACAATGTTATAAATTGAAGAATAACGTTTAATATTTATATCTTCGTTTTAGAGTTTGCACAAAAGGAAGAAGTTTTCAATGTTATAATTTCAAGTAAGTGTCATTCTTCCTTCTTTATCGTACTTGTAATAATTTAAGTTGGTATTTGTTTATGTTTTATCCTTTTTAATGTTGTCCATATAGGTTTTTGTTTTGAGTTATATATTATGAAAACATATTTATAACTTTAAACTAAGTTTTACTTTACTTTACAATACAACCAGTAGTGACTTGTATAAAATCATGGTCTGCACTGCTCGCTATTCAGTTAGTGCAGACATTGAAATTTTAATGATGAAAGATTATGTTCATATTAAAATATAGACATGTCCATTCAAAATATTAAGCGCTGTAAGGTTTGAAATCAAAAATTTAATGTACATTAGTAAGCAATTGATACAGCTAGAAACTCATTTCTAAAAGTTATGGAACAATTTTCTGTATTCTAAAACCGTATGTATAGACTTTCAAATATAATGCAATAGTTTTTAATGACAATAACTTGCTTGATACTAAACAGCGAAATATCTTTTTAATGCTCACAACATAATAGTTACGCTTTCAGTAATTCCATTTTCACTTGACTCAAATCTCGGTGAAGTAAAATAATGATATTGTATAATATAAAGAAGTGTGATACATGCAGAACTGTCAAAGTTCAATTCAATTTGCCAATATATGTTTTCCAGAGCTTCAGAAAAATACAGATAAATACAAGAAAATACAACAAGGTACGTTAAACTCTTTCAAGAGTTTGCACTTTTTTTTTTGCATCTCCAAAATTGCGTCTGTTTCTTATGATTGATTTCCCATTTTATTGTTTTTTTCCACGTTGTAGACTTACTTGTTTTCACTGAAATAAATACAAACATGTGATGTTTGAAAATATATTGAAATTTCCATCAGTTATCATGGTTGCCATGGTAACATGTTATAGAAAATATGCTAAATCTTTCCTTTCAAGATATCTTTGCAATTTTACAAAATATATAAACATCACAATTACAATACTATTCAAATGACATTCTTAATTGACCGTGGTTAAAACTAGAAGTATAGTTATCAAATGATTCAAGTCAATTCCTTTAATGACACTTTGCAATTTAAAATAATACTGTGTCGGTGTGACGTAAAACCCAATCAAATACAGAAAATAATAATACTGCAGACGGTTTTTGTTTAACCCATTACTTCATGAGCATTTTGTGAAAAATGGCTGTTTTCATTGAAAAGTCTCCCGTTACAAGTTCAAATTGCTATAATACTATAACAACTGCTTCAACACTAATCAAACTTGGCACAAATGTTGACTGGACCATTGCCCTTGCAACAACATGCTTAGACATAAATTTTCTGTTACCATGGCAACGAGGGGACATCTCAAAATTGCCAAAAATCACTATTTTGCGTTGATTTTATCAATCAAAATTGATTTCAAAGTGCTGCAACTTCTCAATGAATTGAGATAGAGTCAAATGCTTTTCAGCGTTGGTTACACGTTACCTTATGATCAATCTGGGGTCATTTATAGCCTCTCACAAGACCAAAATTTTCTTGGCGATGAGGGGGACTCCGCCCCCCTTCAAACCCCCCAAACAGAAGGGGGCACATCCCCCTTCTGGCAACCCCCTGATGTATCTTTTGGTTGGGGGCCGCGCCGAAAAAGTGGTCACTTTTTTTAACAACATTTCTCAAACAAAAACAAGTGTTAGGGGCCTAAATAAGGCATTTTTTCACCATTTGAGACAACAAAAAGGGGGGGGGGTGAAAAAGGCGTTAAAAGGCGTGTATATGAAGTAATGGGTTAACAGAATATGATGAAAATACTTGAAATTGCCCTAAATCGCGTTTTTCCATGTTTAAACATGGCCTGTCATATAAATTTGAAGAAAAATTGTTGTTTGGTAGATTTTTTTATTTTTTTCATTAACCCATTACTTCATGAGCATTTTGTGAAAAATGGCTGTTTTCATTGAAAAGTCTCCCGTTACAAGTTCAAATTGCTATAATATTATAAAAACTGCTTTAACACTAATCAAACTTGGCACAAATGTTGACTGGACCATTGCCCTTGCAACAACATGCTCAGACATAAATTTTCTGTTACCATGGCAACGAGGGGACATCTCAAAATTGCCAAAAATCACTATTTTGCGTTGATTTTATCCATCAAAATTGATTTCAAAGTGCTGCAACTTCTCAATGAATTGAGATAGAGTCAAATGCTTTTCAGCGTTGGTTACACGTTACCTTATGATCAATCTGGGGTCATTTATAGCCTCTCACAAGACCAAAATTTTCTTGGCGATGAGGGGGACTCCACCCCCCTTCAAACCCCCCAAACAGAAGGGGGCACATCCCCCTTCTGGCAACCCCCCCATGTATCTTTTGGTTGGGGGGCCGCGCCGAAAAAGTGGTCACTTTTTTTAACAACATTTTTCAAACAAAAACAAGTGTTAGGGGCCTAAATAAGGCATTTTTTCACCATTTGAGACAACAAATGGGGGGGGGGGTGAAAAAGGCGTTAAAAGGCGTGTATATGAAGTAATGGGTTAACAGAATATGATGAAAATACTTGAAATTGCCCTAAATTGCGTTTTTCCATGTTTAAACATGGCCTGTCATATAAATTTGAAGAAAAATTGTTGTTTGGTAGATTTTTTTATTTTTTTCATTAACCCATTACTTCATGAGCATTTTGTGAAAAATGGCTGTTTTCATTGAAAAGTCTCCCGTTACAAGTTCAAATTGCTATAATATTATAAAAACTGCTTTAACACTAATCAAACTTGGCACAAATGTTGACTGGACCATTGCCCTTGCAACAACATGCTCAGACATAAATTTTCTGTTACCATGGCAACGAGGGGACATCTCAAAATTGCCAAAAATCACTATTTTGCGTTGATTTTATCAATCAAAATTGATTTCAAAGTGCTGCAACTTCTCAATGAATTGAGATAGAGTCAAATGCTTTTCAGCGTTGGTTACACGTTACCTTATGATCAATCTGAGGTCATTTATAGCCTCTCACAAGACCAAAATTTTCTTGGCGATGAGGGGGACTCCACCCCCCTTCAAACCCCCCAAACAGAAGGGGGCACATCCCCCTTCTGGCAACCCCCCTATGTATCTTTTGGTTGGGGTCCGCGCCGAAAAAGTGGTCACTTTTTTTAACAACATTTTTCAAACAAAAACAAGTGTTAGGGGCCTAAATAAGGCATTTTTTCACCATTTGAGACAACAAATGGGGGGGGGTGAAAAAGGCGTTAAAAGGTGTGTATATGAAGTAATGGGTTAACAGAATATGATGAAAATACTTGAAATTGCCCTAAATTGCGTTTTTCCATGTTTAAACATGGCCTGTCATATAAATTTGAAGAAAAATTGTTGTTTGGTAGATTTTTTTATTTTTTTCATTAACCCATTACTTCATGAGCATTTTGTGAAAAATGGCTGTTTTCATTGAAAAGTCTCCCGTTACAAGTTCAAATTGCTATAATATTATAAAAACTGCTTTAACACTAATCAAACTTGGCACAAATGTTGACTGGACCATTGCCCTTGCAACAACATGCTCAGACATAAATTTTCTGTTACCATGGCAACGAGGGGACATCTCAAAATTGCCAAAAATCACTATTTTGCGTTGATTTTATCCATCATAATTGATTTCAAAGTGCTGCAACTTCTCAATGGATTGAGATAGAGTCAAATGCTTTTCAGCGTTGGTTACACGTTACCTTATGATCAATCTGGGGTCATTTATAGCCTCTCACAAGACCAAAATTTTCTTGGCGATGACGGGGACTCCGCCCCCCTTCAAACCCCCCAAACAGAAGGGGCACATCCCCCTTCTGGCAACCCCCTGATGTATCTTTTGGTTGGGGGGCCGCGCCGAAAAAGGGGTCACTTTTTTTAACAACGTTTCTCAGACAAAAACAAGTGTTAGGGGCCTAAATAAGGCATTTTTTCACCATTTGAGACAACAAAAAGGGGAGGGGTGAAAAAGGCGTTAAAAGGCGTGTATATGAAGTAATGGGTTAACAGAATATGATGAAAATACTTGAAATTGCCCTAAATCGCGTTTTTCCATGTTTAAACATGGCCTGTCATATAAATTTAAAGAAAAATTGTTGTTTGGTAGATTTTTTGATTTTTTTCATTAACCCATTACTTCATGAGCATTTTGTGAAAAATGGCTGTTTTCATTGAAAAGTCTCCCGTTACAAGTTCAAATTGCTATAATACTATAAAAACTGCTTCAACACTAATCAAACTTGGCACAAATGTTGACTGGACCATTGCCCTTGCAACAACATGCTCAGACATAAATTTTCTGTTACCATGGCAACGAGGGGACATCTCAAAATTGCCAAAAATCACTATTTTGCGTTGATTTTATCCATCATAATTGATTTCAAAGTGCTGCAACTTCTCAATGGATTGAGATAGAGTCAAATGCTTTTCAGCGTTGTTTACACGTTACCTTATGATCAATCTGGGGTCATTTATAGCCTCTCACAAGACCAAAGTTTTCTTGGCGATGACGGGGACTCCGCCCCCTTCAAACCCCCCAAACAGAAGGGGGCACATCCCCCTTCTGGCAACCCCCTGATGTATCTTTTGGTTGGGGGGCCGCGCCGAAAAAGGGGTCACTTTTTTAACAACATTTCTCAAACAAAAACAAGTGTTAGGGGCCTAAAAAAGGCATTTGTTCACCATTTGAGACAACAAAAAGGGGGGGGGGTGAAAAAGGCGTTAAAAGGCGTGTATATGAAGTAATGGGTTAACAGAATATGATGAAAATACTTGAAATTGCCCTTAATCGCGTTTTTCCATGTTTAAACATGGCCTGTCATATAAATTTGAAGAAAATTGTTGTTTGGTAGATTTTTTTATTTTTTTCATTTTAAACAAAAACAAGTGTTAGGGGCCTAAATAAGGCATTTTTTCACCATTTGAGACAACAAAAAGGGGGGGGGGTGAAAAAGGCGTTAAAAGGCGTGTATATGAAGTAATGGGTTAAATAAAGATGATGCTGTAAAAGGTTACAAAATATAAATCCAAGTTAGTTTTTTTATTTATTTTTTTTTTTTACTTCATCATTACTTTATGTATATAATGACATATATTGCAGGATTTGTTTAAATACAGTTCCACAAGCATATTTTAAAGAGGTTTCATAGTACTCGGATATGCTTAAATATGTCTAAAATCAAAGCCACATTTGCATCCGCTCTCAAATTGTATGTAATTATACAATGTTCTTTAAGAGAATAAAGAACTTAAGATTTCATTTTTGTGTATTTTTATTGATGCATAAGAGTTTAATTCATCATATTTGTGTATTATTTTTAACAAATTTATTTGATACGGAGTTTGCCCAAATGATTCGTGCAAAGGGTATATTTTACTCATGCGAAACATGCACTTCCTCTCATTATAGAAGAACAACTATCGTAAATGTACTTACAAAATTTATATATTTAAAGTTTCATTGTTGTTATGAAATTGGATTTACAAATGGTGCAAAAATAGCACTATGTTTATGGACTCTCAGTTCGGATTTTACGAGGGTCACTCTACTAAGTATGCAATCTTTATTCTTCACTCAATGATACAAAAAGCCCGTTTGTCACTTCTAAACTCGAGTGTATATTTATTAATTATGAAAAAGCGTTTGATACAGATATTTGCGACGCTCTTTGAAAACAATAACTTAATTCAG